ATGGCAAATCGAGGTGTGGTAGAATGCGAAATGCTGCAAGGTAGAGCTTCTGTAAATCTTCTATGGGACCCCCACCCGAATCACGGAGTCTGGCATGCATCACCCCCCTCACTAGAGGCTTGCTGCCTGAAGATCTCTAAGGCGTCCAGCATGCCCAAGATGACTCCCAAGACGGCCCAGGCAGGCCACCAGGGCCGCCAAGATGGCCCACGATCTCCTCAACATGCAGCTAAGAGCATTTTAGAAACACCCAATCGGTCCCAAAATGTCTCCAAGAAACCCGAAGACACCCTCAATACGCACCCTCTCCAGGAGGCCCCCCCAAAGTTCCAAACACCTCTTCGCCACAGTCGCGGGTTCCGTTTTTCTTCCAGACGCCCCCGCGCAAGAACGAACACCTCTCCTCCTCTCCTCCTTTCACACTCGCCATCGCCGTCACACCGTTATCACCCTCACTACCACCATCCAAGCAGGCTCATCGGCCACCAACAACATCATCATCAGCACCACCACCATCATTAGCATCATCACCACCATCACGATAACCATCATCATCATCACCACCATCACCATCATCATCACCACCATCACCATCATCATCACCTTCCCCATCCCAATCCACATCATCACCATCGACATCACCACCACTGCCACCATCACCATCACCATCACCATCACCATCACCATCACCATCACCATCACCATCACCATCACCACCATCACAATCATCATCATCGTCACCACCACCACCACCATCATCATCATCATCATCATCATCATCATCATCATCATCATCATCATCATACTCATCACCAAATTCAACATCACCATCACCACCATCATACTCATCACCAAATTCAACATCACCATCACCACCATCATCACCATCATCTTTTTCTTCTTCATCATCATTTTCTGCAGAATCACCATCATCATCGTCAGTATCGTCATCATCATCTGCAACGCCATCATCACAACCATCATCACCATCACCTTAACCATCACCGCTAGCATCACTATAACCATCGCCATCACCATCACCATCATTATTATGATCACCATCACCCTCACCACAATCGTCACCACAATCCGCATCGTCACCTATATTTTCTCCATCATCTTCATCATCATCATCATCGCCGTCCCCGTCATCATCATCATCATCATCATCACCATCATCATCATCATCATGATCATCATCATCATCATCATCATCATCATCACCATCACCGCGTCAACCACCATCATCATCATCACCATCCCCATCATGATCACCACCACCATCATCATCATCACCATCATTGTCATTGTCATCATCATCATCAGCATCATCATCATCATCATCACCATCATCCACAACATCATCATCGCACACACGTGCGCATGCACGCACGCGCGCACGCGCACGCACGCACGCACGCACGCACGCAGGCACGCACGCAGGCACGAACACACGCACGCACGCACGCACGCACGCACTCGCGCACACACACTCTCGCACGCACGCTCATGGGGTCGGAATCTGGAGGAAGTCTCGAGCAGGAGCCTCGTGATTGAATGTCTCGCGAGGAAAACCCGAGCGGGAGCCCTGCCCTATGGGGTCCCCGCCTCGTCTTGGTAATCTGGGCGGGATGTCGGAACCATGAAAATCTTGTCGCCGTCACTTTTAGGCTCCTGGGGCCTGATCTTGGAAGACATCTCGAGGCGGAGCCTCGTGTATGAGTGAGTCGCGATGAATCCCAGCGGGAATCCCTCCCAATGGGGTCCTCATCTCATGTTGGTACTCCGAGCGGGGCATCGGAACTCCGTAGATGTTTTCACATTTGGGCTCATGAGGCCTGAACCTAAAGGAAATTTCGAGCGAGAGCCTCGTGTTTGAGTGAATCGCGATGAAATCCCCTGCGGTATCCCCACCCTATGTGGTCCTCACTTCATTTGGTATTCCGAGCGGGATATCGGAACCCTGTAGGCGTTTTCACTTTGGGGCCCATGAGGCCTGACTCTAAAGGAAGTCTCGAGCGGGAGCCTCGTGTGTGAGTGAATCGCGAGAAAATTCCCTGCGGGAGCCCCTCCCTACCTCATGCTGGTAATCCGAACGGGGCACCGAAACCGTGAAACTAAGGTCACTTTTGAGCTGGTGGTGAAGAGGAGGAGGATGGGGAGGAGGAGGAAGAGGGGCATGTGTGAGCATGTCGCTAACCACACACGTGGTTTCAATGGCAAGCCGGTCAGGGTACGGGGGGGTGACCAGGAGGGAGGAGGAGGACGAGGCGGAAGAGGAGGAGGAGGAGAAACAGGAGGGGGAAGAGGATGAGGAGGAGAAGGACCAGTGTAAACCCAGGATTCATCAACGATGTTGGAATGAACCCTCCCTCCAAGCTACATTTTCATACGCCCCTACAAAGATTCATCCTCACTGAAGGAAGTGCCCTGTTGGGAGACAACCTTTTGAAGATCCTGCAGCGTGCCAAAGCAACATTCTCGGGACTTCAGCGCCGCTGCTGCGTATTGATGATCCTGAATCGTGGCAAAACTGCGGCCTAGCAGTCCCGACTTCAAAATTCCAAGACGCTGTTTCTGGTGCGTTACCAATGAGGTCCCGTGATACTCTTGCAAATGTTCAAGACGAGCGTGCGCGGCGGTAAGGCGAGAACCACCTGTTGAAAAGGAACCACCCTCTCTCGGTGAACCTCTTGCAATTTACTTGCGCGGCGCTCAGGCGAGAATCACATTTGGAACAAAACGCCCTCCACCTGTGAAGCAGCTGCATTGGAAAAAACCGATTGTGCGCAACGCTAAAGCGAGAACCGCATTTTGAAAACGACCCGCACCCCATCCGTGAAACGGTTGCGTTTTTGTTGTTGTTGTTGTTGTTGTTGTTGTTGTTGTTGTTGTTGTAATTGAACTCTCACTCTTGATGACTAATTATTGTTGATCCCCCCCACCGGTGTTTTTTTTTTTTAAAAAAAATTGAAGTGCACCTCCCGCGGCTCGCACTCTGTTTTTTGTCAAGGCCCCCTGGCCCCCGGGTTACAACAACAACGGCTCCCGCTTGAGACTTCCTCACAATTTAGCCAGGACCCCCGCTCCCGCCCGAGACTTCCTCGCATTTTATTCAAGAATCGCGCTCTCGCTTGGGACTTCCTTACGATTTATTCAGGAATCGCTCTTCCTGCGCTCTGGATTCGCGCTCTCGCTGGAGACTTGCTTGCAATTTACTGAAGAATAGCGCCCTTGCGTTGGAATTTCTTGCAATTTACTCCAGCGCCGCGCTCCCGACACCCAGGCACCCAGGAGTCGCGCTCACGCTTAGGACTCCTCCACAGATTACCTAGGAATCGGGATCTCGCTGCCCTTCGTGGCCCCGTTGCAGCCCTTCGTGGCCCCCTCGCTTTGTTTCGTGGCCCCGTTGCAGCCCTTCGTGGCCCCCTCGCTTTGTTTCGTGGCCCCGTTGCAGCCCCTCGTGGCCTCCTCGTTGCCCTTCGTGGCCCCGTTGCAGCCCTTTCGTGGCCCCCTCGCTTTGTTTCGTGGCCCCGTCCCTTCGTGGCCCCCGCTCGTTCGCGCCCGTGGTGGCCCCATATGCATGCCCTTCGTGGCCCCGCTGTCGCCCTTCGTGGCCCCCTCGCTGCCCTTCGTGTCCCCGTTGCTGCCCTCAGTGGCCCCGTCCGTACCCTCCGCGGCCCAACATACGTATGCCCTTCGTGGCCCCCGCTCGTTCGCGCCCGTTGTGGCCCCATGTGCATGCCCTTCGTGGCCCCGCTGTCGCCGTTTGTGGCCCCCTCATTGTCCTACGTGGCCCAGGTGCTACCTTCAGTGGCCCCATTGTTGCCTTCTGTGGCCCCGCATTATCTGCCCTTCGTGGCCCACGCTCGTTCGCGCTCTTCGTGGCCCCATACGCATTCCCTTCGTGTCCCCGCTGTCGCCCTTCGTGGCCTACTTCGTGTCCTTCGTGGCTCTGCTGTCGTTCTCTCTCGCTCTCGCTTTCGCTCGTCGTCGTCGTCGCCGTCGCCGTCGTTGCCGTCGTCGTCGACGTCGTCGTCGTCGTCGTCGTCGTCGTCGTGGTCGGTCCCCTGTCCGTCCCTCTTGGGGTCGGGTCGACGGTCCGCGGCCGCCCCGCCGATCAGCGCTGCCGCTGGCCAGGCCGACGGTCCGCGGCCGCCCCGCCGCTTGCCGGGGCCCGGCCTGCAGGGAAGAAAGGTATACCCCCAAAAGGGGTTCGATCGAAGACGAAAAGGGCGGGTATCGAGGGTTTGGGAAATTCGCGTTATTCGACACTCGAGCAGATAAGGGCGAACAGTCTTAAAATGATTGTTGTTGTTGTTGTTGTTGTTGTTGTTGTTGTTGTTGTTGTTGTTGTTGTTGTTGTTGTTGTTGTTGTTGTTGTTGTTGTTGTTGTGTTTGTTCGTTTTCTGTGTAGCGAATGTGGGCAGCGCTATGGCGAGAGCCACCTTTTGGAAGCGGCCCGCCCTCCATCTTTGAAGATGTTGCCAGTTTTGAAGCTTCAGGATCATAAATCGTAAGGAAATCTCAGGCGAAACGCCCCGTCCGCTTGTCCGACTGGCCTCGTGGTGCGACAGGGAGGAGTTATTTGGAAGGAGAAGTAGTAGTGGAGGGAAGAGGATACTGGAGGAGGAGAAAGCGGAGGAGGACGAGGAGGAGGAGGAGGAGGAGGAATGAGGAGTGAGGATGAGTAAGGACAACGGGGAGGGAGAAATGATGGTGATGAGGGGGAGAGTGAGGATGAAGAGGGGGAGGAGGAGGAGGAGGAGGAGGAGGAGGAGGAGGAGGAGGAGGAGGAGGAGGAGGGAGGAGGAGGAGGAGGAGGAGGCGGAGGAGGAGGAGGAGGAGGAGGCGGAGGAGGAGGAGGAGGAGGAGGAGGAGGAGGAGGAGGAGGCGGAGGGCGGAGGAGGAGGCGGAGAAGGAGGAGGAGGAGGAGGAGGAGTAGGAGGAGGAGGGCGAGGAGTAGGAGGAACGAGGCCCTGGCTGCTGCGGGCGGCAGCCTGTAGTTAACGTCGATGCAGACGAGGTCCTGGCTCTCAGCGAGGTCCGCTCCGCTGGCGCCCGGATTGTGCGCCGCGCCGTGCATCCCAGAGCCGCCGTGGATGTAGACGAGTACGGGCGCCAGCGCCTCTGCGTTCGCCTGGGCAGATGCACCCTCCTCCTCCTCCTCCTCCTCCTCCTCCTCCTTCTCCTCCTCCTCCTCCTCCTCCTCCTTCCTCCTCTCTCCTCCTCCTCCCCCCTTCCCCCTTCCCCTCCCAACTCCTCCCTCCCCCCCCCTCCTCCGTCCTCCCCCCTCCCTCCTCCGTCCTCCCTCCTCCTGCTGCTCCTCCTCCTCTCCTCCTCCTCCACTTCTTCCTCCTCCGTCCTCCACGCTCCTCCTCCTCTTGCTCCTCCCGGTCCTTCTTCTCCTTATCCTCCTCGTTCCCCTCCTCCTCCTCCTCCTCCTCCTCCTCTTCCTGCTCCTCCTCCTCCTCCTGCTCCTCCTCCTGCTCCTCCTGCTCCTCCTGCTCCTCCTGCTCCTCCTGGTCTTCCTCCTGCTCCTCCTCCTGCTCCTCCTCCTCCCTCTCCCCCTCCTCCTCTTCCTCCTCCTCCTCTTCCACTCTTTTCCTTATCAACAACTCCCCCTGTCGCACCCCCAGACGAGTCGGTAGGGCGGGCTGGGCGTTTCGCCTAAGGCTTCTTCACCATATGTGATCCTGCACTTGAAATTGGCAACTATTTCAAATATTGAGGGTGGTTCCATTTGAACATGTGGTCCTCGCCTTAACGCTGCACGCATTCGTCTTCAAAGCTTTCAGCATTTTCAAGGATTCGTATGGACAACGTTGCAGGAGTGCTCTGGGACGATTTAGGACTATCAGGACGCAACAACCACTTTGATTCGCAGTGTTGAACTCCCAGAAAGGTTTTGTGGCACGGTTTAGTGTCAGGACGAATCGGTCACCTTGAGCCGTGGCGTTGAAGTCTTAAGAATTTTGTTTTGAGACGAGTGAGGACTCTCAAACGGTTTTCTTCCAATGGGGGACCTCTCGCAATGAAAACATATTATTTTAGGGGCCTATGACGAGGGAACCTGGAAGGACAGTTTATTGCAACATCGTTGGGTTGTTTTGGGTTCGGACTGGTCCTCCTCCTCCTCCTCCTTTCCTCCTCTTTTCTCCTCCCTCCTCCCTTCTTCCTCCTCCCCTCCTCCCTTCCTGGTTTTCACGGCCTCGAGGACGATTCCTTGCCTCCTCCTCCCTCCGTTCCTCCCTCCATCACTCCTCCCTCGCCCCTCCGTCTTGTTTCTCCTCTCCTCCTTCCTCACACACACAGACACCTCCTCCTCCTCCTCCTCCTCCTCCTCCTCCTCCTCCTCCGCTCGTTTCCGTTTCCTTCCTTGCTCTCAACTCCGTCCCCGCCCCCCTCGCGCGCTCCTGCGCGCGCGGGGGGGGGGGGAAGGGGAGGAGGGAGAGGATAAGCAGACGGAGGGAGAATGAGGAATAAAGGGGGGAAGGAAGATTAGGGGGAGGAGGGAGGAGAGTGGTGGGGAAGGGGGGATGATGAGGAAGAAGAAGAAGGAGGAGGAGGAGGAGGAGGAGGAGGAGGAGGAGAGAGAGAGGGGGACGAGGAGGAGGAGGAGGAGGAGGAGGAGAAGGAGAGAGGAGGAAGGAGAGGAGGAGGAGGGGAGGAGGAGGAGGAGGAGGGATGATGATGCTGCTGCTGCTGCTGCTGCTGATGATGATGATGATGATGATGATGATGATGATGATGATGATGATGATGATGATATGTGATGATGATGATGAGGAGTAGGAGGAGGAGGAGGAGGAGGAGGAAGAGGAAGAGGAAGAGGAGGATGAGGATGAGGAGGAGGAGGAGGAGAGGAAGCGGAAGAGGAAGAGGAGGAGGAGGAGGAGGAGGAGGAGGAGGAGGAGGAGGAGGAGGAGGAGGGAGGACTTCGATGTCTCGCTCTCTCTCTGCCTCCTGATGGGGCTCCCTCACAGGCAGTAGTGACACAAGGCCCTCTCGTGGCGTGGGATCAGGTTGCGTCGGCGCGTAGACGGAATCGGATCGGATATGTCAGTGATGCACAACAGCGCCGTGCAAGCGTCGGGCAGCACCGGATCATCGGAGGATTGGAATTGAATCGAATCGGATCGAGCCAGCTGGAATCAATAGGGCGGCTTTTGCCTCAGATTGCGAGCTCTGCCAAGCTGGAGAACCCATGTTATGATAGAGCTGCATCAGAGAAAGGCTTTGGGGGAATCGCGCGTGCGCTGACGTTTTTGTGGAACGACGCGGACGCCAGTTTTCGGCAGAACGCGTGCGCTGAGAGAAGAGGCGTACAAGGCGCCTGACTCATTCCAGAACTTTGACGTCGTCGAGTCTGTCATGCAGAGCAGTATGATCTAGCTTCAGCTTCTCAGTGTGCTGATTGAGAAGGCTGAGCTGTTCGTAGAGGGCGTGGCTGTCTCCCTTCATCGCTTGGAGCTCTCTCTGGACTCCAGCCGGGTCGGCGCAAGGCAGGGCCTGCGAGAGAAGCTCCATCTTTGGCGGCTCCGCTGGCAGTGGCACGCGGCAGGCCTCCTGAGGGCGCCCCCCGGTGCCCATCGCCTCCATGAACAGCGCGTCCAGGGTGCCGTCAGAGCACCGCTCCTCCAGCATGCCTCGAGCCCGCAGCCTCACAGCATCGCTCTGGCCGTGGTGCACCGGCACCGCCGGCGGACCGCCTTCTGCGGTGATCCTGCTCGGCCTGCGCGCCACCCCCGCCCGGGCGTCCTGGGGCGCGGTGCCCACGGCGCCGCCCGCCGTGGCCTGGCTCCCCCCTCTCGCCGCCGCCGCCCGGGCCTCCCCGGGCTCCGCGGCGCTGCGGCCGCTGCCCCCGGCGAGCACCGTCTGCGGCTGGCCGCTACCGAACGCCTCCTCGAGCGCGGCTCCCATCTCCTGCCCGGGGCCGTGCTCGGCACTGGCCGCGCGCCCTGGCGCCGCCTCCCGCGGGGCTCCCGCGCCAGCCGGCTCGGCGCCCATGACCTCCTCGAATGCCCTCTGGAACTCCCCGCCGAGGCACGCCTGGCGCAGCCCCTGCTTCAGCCTCCTGCGGACCTCCGCTCTGGACCTCGGCGAGCCCAGCCGCCTTCTGCCCTCGACGCTCGCCTTCGATGGTGGCCTCGCCTGCGTCGGCGCCGCGCCGGCTGGGACCTCCTCGCGGGCCCTCTCGCACATCCTCCCGACACCAGGCTTCCTGTCGAAGAGCCATCCCCTGCCATCCGCGAGTCTCAGGAAGAGCACGCCGTCTGCGCCTTCCCGCGTCTCGATTGCCCTGAACTGCTCGCCTGGCGTCATCTGATAGCTGGCTGCATCGACTAACTCATCGTCCCCGATCGTGGGCGTCCGACGAATCGCTATGGGGAGCCCGTTTTCCGGACTGTACACCCACAGCTCTGCCCTGGATTGCAGCTGCTCAAGCATGTACAGGTACGGGTCCCGGGGCCTGTCGTGAACCATCGCCTGCACCATGGCCTGGAAGTAGCGCACGACGCCCGTCTCCTCAAGGTAGACCTTCGCCAGGTCGGCCGCGCTCGCGCCAGGCTCCCCGCCCTGCGCTGCGGCGGCGTCGCCGCTGCCCCCGTCGCCGAGAGCGCCCAGCAGCCCCTGCAGCTGCAGGCTGATGTCGAACCCGCCGCCGGCGTCCTCGCCTTCTGCCTCGGTGCTCTTCGCGTGCAGAGAGTAGTTCGCCTGCCCCTTCTGCAGCACGAGCTGCGCAGACGCCACCACCTTCATGACCTCCACGAGGACGGGCTCCGCGATCCTCTCCGGGTCGGTCGGGAGCCTCACGGGCGTGCGGCGCAGCCTCGCCACGGGCGCCTGCCGCCGCGTCTCCGCGGCGGCGCGCACGCGGGGCTGGCGCGAGGGGGGGGCGGGCTTCCGAGGAGGCAGCCGGCCTCCTCGAGGCCCCTCCGAAGCAGCTCCGCGGAAGCCTCCGGGCCCTTCCTCCGCGCAGCCGCTCGCCTCCCGAGGGGCCCCCGCGCCTCCTCTCAGAATGGCCGCCCCCCTCGCGCCGGCCCCGCGGCGCGCGCCGCCGCCCTCCCCGAGGCGGAAGGAGAGCACGTGGCCGTCTGGGACGGTGGTGCCGCGCAGGCGGAGCTCCATGGCGAGCGCCGCCGCCGCCCTGCGGCGCCCCCTGCGCGGTGGCGCGGGCGGCCCGCGGCGCGCGCGGCGCGCGCGGCGCGCGCCCCGAGCGGAGCGGCGCTCGGGCGGCCCCTGGCGCTGCGCGGGGGGGGGGCGGCGGGGCCCCGCCCCCGAGGGCCCCCCCCCCCCCCCCCTCCCGAGCCCGAGCGGGCCGGCGGGCGGAAACGGCTGCGGGCGAGCCGGGGCGCCGGGCAGCGCTGCCGCCCGCTGCCTCGGCGTCTGCCCCCGCCGCGGTCCCCCGAGCAGAGTCCCGGCGCCGCCTCGACGTCAACGTCGACATCACAGCCTCTTCTCTGCCTCTCTCTGTCTACCATGTTCTCGGCTCACCTCTCCCCCCCCCGCTTCCCTCTCTCTTTCTCTCTCGCATTCCCTCTCCCTCCCCCTCTGCTGCCAGCTCTGCTTCTCCCTCTTCTTCTCCGAACTCCTCCGTCTTCCGCATCATCCTCTTGAACTCCCTGCTGCTGTTCCTCCTCACTCCTCCTTCCTCCTCCTCCTCCGCCTCCTCCTTACTTCTGTCTCCTCGCCACTCACCTCCTGCTGTTCTTACCTCTACTCCTCCACCTCCTCGCGCCTCCTGTGCCGCTTTTAGCATCTCTCCCTCTCCCATCGACCCTTTGGTTCAGGACACTCTCGCATCGAGAACAACGTTCAGATAGCAGGTGCAATCGTCCTACGGCTCATAGGAGTGGGGAGTGGCTCGTTGGATCGCTCTTTCCTTCTCCCATGGTGCCAACTTTCTGCTCTCGCTGGAGCTTGAGCTGGACCTCGAATACGGTACTCTATATGCTGGGGCACGACATGCTCCCATATGGCTGGCTGGAACAATCTGTCCACATGTCATACTCGCAACGCGAACTTAATCATGCGCGCCCGCCAGACTAATCGCGCATTAGTCCAATTGCAAGGGGGGCACTTGCCAACTGATGTGCCCACAGCCGCAGCCTTGTCCCCCGCGCCTCCCGATGGAGATCGGCTTGAACATGTTCAGCATTGCACAACCACCCGAGCGCCAGAAAATATGTTCTTCAAGCGGCTCTTGTACTGAAGCTTTCTTCGGGCTCGCAGGAACTGAACATCTGTGCCGCACTCTCTAGTGGCCGCGGGGGTTCCTTTGGGTTCCTATAGGTGGCAAAGCCGGAATGTCCAATGGCTGCTTGACTTCCCATGGGTGGCTGTGCCGTCCTGTGTCGTGGCCGCTTGGGTTCCCAAAGGTTCCCATGGAGAAGTGTGTCGCAATGTCCGTTGGCCGCTTGAGCTCCAATCGGTTTCTATGGGTGGCTGAGCCGCACTGGCCGTTAGCCGCTTGGGTTTCTCAAGGCTTATATCGGTGGCGTTGTCGCGCTGTTCCTTGGCCTCTTGGGTTCCCACCAGTGGCTGCCACGTTTTCTGTCGGCAGCCTGGGTTCTTGTGGGTTCCACACGCGCATGGTTCCAAACGCACACAGGTCTCCATACACATGGGTTCCCACACACGTTGGGCCCCACAAACATAGTATTCCGCATACATAAGCTTCCGCATGCACAGGTTCCAGATACATAGGCTGCCACACACATCAATTTTCATACGTAGTTTGGCTCACAAATGAGGCGACCAATACCCGCTCCCACACACAGGATTACACTCGCGGAGCTCCGCATGTATTTGTGTATGTCTACATACATGTATACCCTCGCACTTGCATGTCTATACGGTTATACACCAATCTACCTCTCTATTTGCATGTATTTATATGTGAGTGTATACACATATATATATGTATATATATATATATACATATATATATATATACATGCACACACACACACGCGCTCCATCTTCGCACATATTCGCATGCATGGGCTTCCATACGCATCTGGGGCCCAGACACATCCGCCACCGTGCCCCCTGACACGTGAGGGCGCGGCATGCTGCTGCGTGCTCTCTGCAGACAGGGCTTCTGCAGGCCCCGATGCCGCTCCCCCTCCGAGGCTCCCTTGGGCGGCCCAGCGCTGCCCCGGGACCCCCCAAGGCTTCCAAGGCAGCCCGAGAGGGCCACCAAAACCGCCAAGAGGACCCAACACTGCCTCAAGAAGCACCCTGCAACCCCCCAGCGATCCCAAGAGGTGGCAAACGGGCACCAGGAGGCTTCCAAGCGGTCAGGTAGACGGCCTAAGGGCCTTCCATGCCAGAATCCTTCGAAAGCGCGAAGATAACACAGGTCTTCAACATTATGGAGTTGCCTGGAAATCTCGGCTCAGACGGCCGAAGAGGGGCCTGGCGCCCAGGACAGCCCAACAGGGCCCCAAGAGGCCCCCCCCCCAAGCAGCCTCAAGAGATCTCCCAGACTGCAGATGATACGGGCCCAAAGTGGCCCAGCAAGACGGCTCAAAAGGGCCCCAGGACGGCGCAGGAGAGTCCCAAGACGGCCCCAAAGGAGACGAAGACAGCCCCAAAAAAGCTCAGAGAGGCTCCGTGAAAGCCCGATCACAAGCACAGAGACGAGAGGTGTCCGATATTACGGCCTTCTGGTCGGTGCCCGAAGGGTCGCCACGGAGTGCTGCGCTGGCACGGTGGCGTAACCTGCCGAAGGAACCTGGATACTCTGGGTTTCTCAATAAGCGTGGGGGGCCCCCCCCCCGACGGGGTTCAACCTCGCCTCGTCGTCGCGCCGCGACGGGGGCCGGAGCGCCTTCGGCGTGCGGTGGCTGCCCGCGACGAGGGTCGATGTGGGGCTGTCGGCGGGGGTGGTGCCCCCCCCACGCTTATTAAGAAAGTCGGAGTATGGTTCCAGACAAGTAGGGTTCACCACCCGCAGGGCTCCACACACATTACCACACGAATCAACGTGTCGAGTCCACGCGCTTGCACCCTGTATCTATCCATGTGCATGTACATAACGTGTATATTCACAAAGTGTAGGGCATGCGCCACAAGTACAATCAGATGTAGCACTGCCACATCTGGGGTTGACATGTGGCCTGATATGGCAGCGGGCAAGTACGCGGGTGAACCTTCCCCAGGGCTTCCTTGCACGGCGGATTTCGTCTGATGCTTTTCGATCGCTGGCCATATTGTCAGGTCTTCACCATACATACTGGCTTTCATAATCGTTATGCGCGATCTTTCGTTCAAGTACCAAATCGTAATCCTGGCCAACAAATCTCACTCTTGCCAGTTAACTCCATACGGCGCGCACGCGTTGATGTAGCACACGCGTGTTGTATCACGTTCTATCACATGCCACCATGGGAGCCACACGCCATCATAACCACGGTCATTTTCATCACCATCACCGTCATCGCCGTAGTCATCATCGTCGTCATCGTCATCGTCGTTGCAGTTGCCCGTCATTATCGCCACTACCAACCCCATTATCCTCCTCCTCCTCCTCGTCGCCGTTGTCGTCGTCATCACCATCACTCGCCCACTTGGGTCCCGGATCTGCATGATAAGGGGCCGCTCCATTACGCCTGCCGAGATTTGCAAGAAAGTTCCGATGGGTAACTGCACTAACGGCGTCTTGAGTTTGCCAACCAGCTGCAGATGGGTGGGCGGGTTTATGATCCAATTCGAAGTGTGCTGAAATATAAATCATGTAGCTTCTTGTTGTCGCAAAACAAATAGAAACCTCCCCCCTCCCAGAGCTGGACTTCACGCCCTACCCTTGTGTACCGGGCACGGTCGCTCATCCCACAGACACAGCAATAGCACGCTTGCCAAGCTGGCATTGACCGCCCCCTGCCATCTCTTGCAAAGAACTACTATGCGGTGCACATGCGTTGATCTAAAAGGTGATTTATATTTCTACGGGCAAAATATACGCTACGGGGCACATGCGCGCGCAGCCGCGCGCGCACGCGTCAAAATCGTTCCAACATTTGACCAAAACAGCTGCAAGACATGGCTTTTCACAACTTATAGCAAATCTTTGCTTCTCCAGCCATGCATTGACAGAATGCTGCGCGCGCGTGCTCGCTAACATGCGGACCACTCGCGCCCGCATGTCGAAAAAGATCAACCACGCTCACCAACACTGTCAAACAATGTGATGCGGGCCACGCGCGCGAGTCTCCGCGAGCGCACGTCGACACCCTTCCCAAACCATTGGTTTTCTCATGATTTGAACGCAAATGTGTTCGAACACATACGAAGTCCCAGCGGTTGTCAGTAAAAGCATGTCCGGATGCCTAGGTTTCTGCGGGCGCGCACATTATCAGTATCCTCAGCAGCACAGTTGTTATCTCGTCACCATCACCATTGCCCTCATCACTGACATCATCATCATCACCAACATCAACTTTAACATCAACATCAACATCAACATCATCATCATCATCATCATCATCATCATCATCATCATCATCATCATCGTCAAGATCATCGCCGTCGCCGTTAACGTCGTCACAATCTATTTCGACGCCCTCGTCAATTTTCAGCGCGCGGGCATTCCTCATCACCATCACCAAAACCAACATCATCGTTGCCACCGTCATTCTCATAACCATCAGTGTCATCACCATCACCATCGTCGTCGTCGGCATCGTATCGTACCCATCTTCACTGTCATCCCCATCGGCGTCAGCGTCATTACCATTGTCATCGCCACCGTCATTGGCGTCGCAGTCGTCACCATCACCACCACCATTTCGCTACCTGCAGGACGGACCTGTCTGCGGGCTGGACTTCTAGGCGCTCGTGCGCTCATTGAGAACGGCCAGATGAGCTTGGCCAATGAGGTATGGGTGGGAGGGTGGGATGTTTGCACGAGCAGAGGAGTTGACAACCTCAACCTTTGCAGCATTTTTTACACCAAGTAGATGGCACTACACTTCATAGCTTGTCCCACATATATTGCGCCATCCAGCTCGCATTCCATATAGCACCACATATCTAGCATCGCATTCCTAATACCCCATACATTGCAAATTCGGAGTGCAAAGACCCACTCTTTGAGGTCGACGCTGGCAAACACTCTGCTTTAC